ATTGTGAAAATGAAAATGTCAGTTCAACCCAAAGCAATCTACACAGTCAATGCAATCCCAATCCAGATCCCTTCAACATTCTTTAAAGATACGGAAAAACCAATCACTAACTTTATATGGAAAGGAAAGAGACCTCGGATAAGCAAACCATTATTGAAGAAAAAGAACAAAGCAGGCGGTCTCACACTCCTGGATCTTAAAACCTACTGTATAGCCACAGTAGTCAAAACTGCCTGGTACTGGTACAACGACAGATATACAGACCAATGGGATACAACTGAGAACCCCAAAATAGATCCATTGACCTATGGTCAGCTGATCTTTGACAAAGGGTTGAAATCCATTCGATGGGGAAGAGATTGTTTAACAAATGGTGCTCGCAAAACTGGATATCCATTTGCAGAAAAATGAAACAAGATCTGTACCTCATACCATACAAAAAAACTAACTCCAGATGGATCAAAGACTTAAATGTGAAACCTAAAACCATAAAGTTCCTCAAGGAAAAACTAGGGGCAAATTCAGAGGCCCTAATATATGGCATAAATAGACTATCAAGCAAAATCCAAAATGCACAACCAGCAGAAGATCAACTAGATGAATGGGACCTTCTAAAAATTAAAAGTTTTATGTGCTTCCAAAGCCTTCTTCAAAAGAGTCATAAGAGAACCTACAAATTGGGAAAAAAATATTTGGCAATGACATATCTGACAAGGAACTTATCTCTAGAATTTATAGACACCTCCAATATCTCAACAGCAAAAAAACAAATAATCCAATTAAAAAATGGGCAGAAGACATGAATAGACATTTCACCAAAGGGGATATTCAGGCGGCCAACAAACATATGTAGAGATGCTCATGATCATTAGCCATTAGAGAGATGCAAATCCAAACAACAATGAGATCCCATCTTGTCCCAGCACGAGTAGCATAGTTTAACAAGACAGAAAATAACAAATGCTGGTGAGGATGCAGAGAAACTGGGACTCTTAAATACTTTCGGTGGGACTGTAAAATGATACAACCATTATGGAAAGCAGTATGGTGATTCTTTTAAAACTTGGAATTAGAAATACCCTTTGATCCAGCCATTCAATTACTAGGTATATATCCTAGAGAAGTGAGAGCCAGGACAAAAATGGATATATGCACACCTATGTTCATTGCAGCATTTCAGTATTTATAATAGCAAAAAGATGGAAACAACTAGGTGCCCATCAACAAAAGAATGGAACCAAACTATGGTATATAAGCACAGTGGAATACTATGCAACCCTAAAGAATAATGTAGAATCTGCAGAACACCACATAATGTGGATGAACTTGGAGTACATTATGCTGAGTGAAATAAGTCAATCACAGAAGGACAAATATAGTGTTAGTCCCTTATTGTAAAATGTTAGGGAAAAGTTGATATATGGAAGGAAATTTTCTTTGTTGGTTACCAAGGGTGGGAAGGGAGGGTAGGTAACACTGTTAGATAGGTAGAGACAAATATTGATTTGGGTGAAGAGAAGGGCAATGTACCAAATGTGAGTGATAAACACAGTCGCCTTGAGGAAGAGGAAGACATAGAGGGATGCATGGGAGGTACAGACAACAAAGATGAACCCTTTTGCACATACAGTACTGCATTGTCAGTGAAGGCAAACATGGCTACAGGGGTGGATAGATGAATGGACAAGCTGAAATATTAGGTATGTCTATGCAGGGGGAAGTGTGCCCAAGACCATGTATAGGGTTGGCAGATAATGTTTCTACAAAGTGTATTTGTATATTCTGTAAGAATTCCCAGGTATATGGTAGAGCTGACAATGGGCAAGGTTGTGGTCACTTCTTGGACACAGCCAGCCACCCAGAGGGAGCAAGTAGTTGGACCTGTGGGCTTGGCACCATAGTTGCAGGGGATATCAAGCTCAATGGGCATAACATACCACACAAAACATTGTTCCACACCCTACTTTGGCAAGTAGCAACTGGGATCTTAAAAGCTTGCAAGAGGCCATCTGGATGCAATAATGGGTCTCTCCTTGTCCAGAGCAAAGAATGAAGAAAACCAAAGATTCATGGAAACAATTAGTCCAAGTGACTGGTACATCATGCAGTCCTCAGCCTATATAACTATAAGACCAGAAGAACTAGATGGTGCCCAGCTACCACTGTCAACCTTTTGGAGGGGGCATCCTGGATAGAGTGGGAGAACAATGTGGAAAAACACTCAAAATAATTTTAAAAAAAGGACCAGTTTTGCTGGTCTGATAGAGCCCGGTGGAACAACTGAGAATATGGCCCCTAGCTGCCCTTCAGGTCTGGAATTGAACCCACTCCTGTGGCTTCCAGGAGCTCTGGTAGCATAGTGGCTAAGGCACTTGACTGCTAACCAGAAGGCTGGTGGTTCAAACCCACCAGCCACTGCTTGGAAGGAAGATGAGGCAATCTACTTCTGTAGTGATACTGCCTCAGAAACCCAAGGAGGGGTCGCTATGAGTTGGGTCCGATTTGACAGCACATAACAACAACCTGTGGCTTCCAGCCAAACAAAAGACAGGCATATGAGCTGAGCATTTACATTAGGTAGATACACTCCTTGGACAGATCAATCATTGGAGAACAGCAAGGCTGTGTAAGCACAGGGAGACAGTGTGGGGGGCAGGAGTGCATGGGAGGGAAGGACACAGGGAGAAGACAACCATGGGGAGGAAGCGGGAGGGGAGCTGTTGCATTGTGGGAAATTGTAGTAATGTCATGAGACAAAGTGTATGTGAGCTGCTGTGTGGAAAGTGAATTTGCTCTGTAAACTTTCACCCATACCACAATAAAAATAAAATTTAAAAAAATGTGGCAACTACAGAAATATTAGGGATAAACTACAATATCTATAGTACTTTAAGATTCATATAATAGCTTGTTACAAAGAGGGCCAGCATAGCCCAGCTAGGCACAGAATTCTTTCTTTGTTCTGTGGAATGGAGTATTTCATGAACATCATGTACATACTTGGCATGGCTACTTTCTGGGGAGTTGCAGCCAGAGCAACATACTCTTTTTTCTCAGAATTTCCTTAGCAATTAATCATATATTATAACTCTGAATCAGATAAGGTTTTTGACCATCTTTAAACAGTGTTTTCTCTGATTTATGGTCTTAAATGAAATCTTGCTATAGAGGAAAGAAGCCAGACCATCCTTCGTGTTCTACCAGAGCCCACAACACTATCCATAATAGATACCTAGTTTCCTCCCCAGTCCTTCCACCTTCACCTCCATTTGTACATTTAGTAACATTTTAGAGAAGGGACCTAAGGATAAATTAAGCACTGACTAAAAAATCAATTTAGAAACTAATGAAAAGGATTACATTTAGACTTAAGTGTTTTCATACTTCTGAAGTAATGACATTTTCTTTAAATGCTGTGTAAATTTAGGCAACTGGTATATTATTAATATATTATTTTAATAAAATGATTTTTATCAGGATGTGGAATCAGGCAAGACTTTGTGGAGGTGGGAGGCTTTCAGCTGAACTTTGAAGGCTACGCAACACTTGGCCATACATAGATGAAGGAGCGAGGGAAGGTATATTCCAAGTGGAAAAAGAAGAGTGAAGGTATGGAAAGTTCCTGGATATTTCTGAGAATAGAGAGTAGATTTGATAAAAAGTCCATTACCAATGGGATGGAACAATGGATCATATTTTGTTGCTTTATTTTGTTTTTACTTATTAAATACTCTAGGAGCCCTGGTAGCATAGTGCCTAAGGCACTTGACTGCTAACCAGAAGGCTAGCGGTTCAAACCGACTAGCCACTTCTCGGAAGGAAGATTGGGCAATCTACTTCTGTAGTGACGGTGTCTCGGAAACCCAAGGAGGGGTTGCTATGAGTCGGGTCTGACTCAATGGCAAATAACAATAACAAGGGCAATTTAGCTATGCCTGGATGAATTCTACTTATAAGCCTGCAGTCACAGAGGCACAAATGTCCACATTCAGACAATACCAGTGCTAGGTCTGCTAATAGATATTCTCCTACTTAAATGTTAGTCAGTGATGTATCTGGACTGATAATGTTGCAACTAATTATATATAATTATCAATTACTGAAAAACAAACAAAATGACAAAGTAAAACTATTGATCTAGTTTAAGGCTACTATAATATTAATAGGTTGATTTACGAAACTGTCAATAACCAATAATTTTTAACATACATAAATTATTATGTATAGTTCAACATAATATATACAGATAAGCATTCCTAGAAAGGCAAGGCAAACGTTATCCTTACAAGGCTAAACTCTAAAAACCAAACTCACTGCCATCAAGTTGGATCCGACTCATAGCGACCCCTCCTTGGGTTTCTGAGGCGGAGTCACTACAGAAGTAGATTGCCCAGTCTTCCTTCTGAGGAGTGTGGCTGGTGGTTTATAATATTATACTTCAAGGGAATTAAGTCCAAATAATGGAATGCAAACAAGATAAAATGTTTAATATTACTGTTCTTATAAAGTGTGAATAATAATGGCAGACTTCAATTTTACACCTTGAAAAGAAGTTGAATTACTAACTGGCAATGAATTAACTATACATCCATATGAATAAAAGGAATTTTTTTTAAATAAAAAACCAAAATTAAACAAAATAATAATAATAATAAAAACCTCTTTGGAATTCATACCCCATGTCTAACCAAATCCATTTTCTCTCATCTGTAGGTATGAAAAACTAACCAACATTCTTTCAAGTTCAAACCGATGCAAATGTTTAACTTTTTGTTTGTTTTGATTGTTTAAGCATCCTGATAGATTAAAAAGCAATTAACTAGTCACTCTACTTCTAAGGCTATTTTCAGAAAAACAGTGACTACAGTTTCTCAGGCAGGAAGTCAATCTTTTACTCTTTGACTTTTAATGTTTTAATTAATCTTTTAATCTTTGAGTATTTTTCCTAAATTTTTTTTTTTTTTTTTTTTTTTTTTAAATAGTCTATATCTCTTGCTTACCTCTAGTTTCAAAGTTCTTGAAATATGTGACCACAGACCTGGTGACATGTCTTGCTACAAAATGAATTTCGTTTGGACCCAGCTCATGATCAGCAAAAGCAATGACTTCAACTTCTTCCAGAGTCTCCATTTTCTTTATCTTTGGGGATCTGTTTTTCCATTTTTGCAATAAAGGAGAATCTCCTCCGCTGGCTTCAGGGTTTTTATCTTCTTCTTCCGCAATACAGCTGATTTTTTTATCCCACGTTCTAAGCAAACTTTTTTCCTCATTCTTTTCTTCCTTAGATATTATAGACAAAGGGCTTTGCTGTGATATGAAAAATGGTTTCATGGCTTCCATGCTTTCATTAGTGTATGGCTGACTTGGAAAACCATAGCTTGACAAGACAGTATTCACAATATTTTCTGCGGCTAAACATATTTTGAGCGGAGAAACGGTGGTTGGAATTTCGGTTGGCTCAACAACTGGATCTAGGGTTTCATAATGAAACACTCTTGGATTTTCACCTTTTCCCATTTCTATGAAAGACGTGGCTTGCTTTGAGGCTGTTTCTGTAGAGTCATTTGCTTTGTTAAATAGCTTTTGTAAAACACTGCCTTCAGGGAAAGGGTTATTTTCTTTTATGTCTTGATCAAAATGGCCATAGTTAGGTTTCCTTGGGCCTTGTACTTTGTTCCTAGAGGATGATGGTATAGCTTCTGAATCAGGCCTTGCCATTAGCTCTGAGCTTTTAATTGTGTCTCCTACATATCTGACATACGAGGGTAGATTTGATGAAGCTCTACACTGCTTTTTTGTGTCTTCCTCTGAATAAAATACCCAGCCAGGTATACTGACTTGTGTATGGTTATTCCTGAAACTAGTTTCCTGTAGTTTTGATGTGGGCATTTTCATATTACTTGATAATTCAACCTGGTTAACAATGTAGACATTTTCAACTCCCTGCAACAAACTTTCCTTTGGAAGGTTTTCCATCAAAGACTCACTGAAATGAGTACACTGGTTTATCAGTGTCCCAATGATTTCACTCGCTACAATGTTCTCTTTTGATACATCAGCTAAAGTTGGTTCCACTTGGCTTATTTCTTTGTCCAGTTTGTTCTTAATTATGCCAAGCATGTCACAGACAATATTAGAAGCATATGTAAGTAATTGTGAGTGGAATGAATGAACCTGTAGAAAGGTATTCTCTATATGTTCTTTTGATATAAAAGTATTTGACTTGGATTCATCAGAAAACTTTTTCAGTGGTTGTAATTTTGGCAATATCTTTTTGCTTAATAGTTCCTGTTGGACAGGAAAAAAGTTTTCTATAGGCATTTTCACTATTTCAGAAAATTCATATTTAGAGATATGTTTAAACTGCAAGTCCACAAATGACTCTAACATGTTCAAAACCCTTTCAACAATCTGTCGAACAATTCTGTTGCTAGAGCCCAAAAAATTTTGGTCTTTTGACCTGGTGCTATACATTGTTACATTGCTAGGGATATGGCTTGTTGCAGAATTATATGTAGCCTTAGCACTAATGTGTTCTTTCCTGCTTGCTGGAGTTTCTTTACTGTCTAGGGTGGACATCTGGGTCAAGAAGCACACCTGTAATTTTTCAAATAGCATTTCAACAATTTCCCTTCCAAACATATTAATTTGTGCTTTGGGATTCTCAGCTCTAGTAGAAGCTCCTTTAGAATGACTATAGAACCTGCTTTCACAAGCCTCAAGAAGTGGCAAATTTAAAAATGAGAGAGAATATTCTAATTCTTTTGCCTGTACTGAAACTTCAGTTAAAACATTCTCAGCTACCATCAATAGCTTATATTTTTCATTGTCTGTGTCATTTGGTTCTGTTTGCCATTTGTCAAACATTTTTTTAAATATACCTTCTTTAGGAAAAATCTGTTCTAGTTGTGAAGAAACATTCTCTAAGAAAAAACATGCTTCGGGTTTGGCAAAGCACCCTGCATCTGTATTTCCTCGTGAACATTTGAGACCATCCAGATGTGAGTATTTGATTGGATAAGTCAACGTGTCTTTATCTGTAGCATATAATCCTTGCAAAACTTTATTAACTATTTCACTTGCTACCATGATTTGATCAGATGGTAAAACTTCTGTATTTATTATTACTTGATTTTGCTTCACCTCTTCAACTACTTCCATAATTGTTTCCAGGACATTGCTTATTATGTCTTTGGAATACATTTTTAGTTCTGAAGTAGGTAATTTTACTTCCAATATGTTTTTGGCATCTCCTCTTGAAAGGATGTGTGGCAGCCCAATGGTAGTCTTGGGTCGGCTACATCTTGGAGTCTTCTCACCAGGACATACTTTTGTCTTATTTTTGGCCTTAACACCACTAGGTCCTAGGTGTGGTTTTGTTCTCAATTTAGGTGATGAGGTAATTTTTGATCTTGCTTTTAAATTCGCTTTGAGACCTGATTTAAGACTGCCCTTAGGACTGACTTTATAACTGTGTAATTTCTGAGATTGCATGTCTTCAGAACAAGCTTCAGGAGATGAGCTATCTTCTAGATGCAGTGAGGCAAAATGTTTGATCTTATTGACAACCACTTGGACTAAATCTTTCCCCACTTGCAGTGGAGGATATTGCAAAATGATATTTTCCATGAAAGAGATATTTTGATTACTTGTTGAAGGATGCCCCTGTGGTATAACAGATCTAGGGGGAGCATTTCCTTTTCCTGCTTGTGTAGTTCTGAAGCATGGCGGTTTCACTGGCAATGCGTCACTGTCAGATGCTTCTGCTTCTCTCTTTTCAGTACTTTCACACAAGCATTCCACAACTACACAGTACATTTTCTCCAAAACAGTTTCAACTATATCAGTTGCTTCAGTGTTAATACATGCTTGAGAAAAGTTTTTCTGTGCTACATGTGATGTTTTAATTTTAGAATTAGATATGAAGTTGAGGGTTTCATTAAATGGAGACAAATGATCTATGCTTCTTTGATATACCTTATTTAATATTTCTTCGATGGAACTGATCAATGCAGTTTTTTCTTTCTGTCTTGATTCTTCATTTCTCATAAATATTTCTTCCAAAACCATTCTCTGGTTTTCCTTCTCTGAGGTTATTTGGTTTTCTCCCAATGGATAGTTTGAAAATTGGGATAGTTCAGTGTTGTCTGTCTTCCTTTCTTGTTGCAACAAGATTTCATTTGATATAGTTAGTTGCGAAAATGAATTTGTTTTCTGTTTTAAGTAAAAACTAATTTCCTTTGCAGATCTTTTATCATATAAAATCTTTAAGGTACTGTTGACAATTTCACTCACAATATTTTCCTGTAATGAAATATTGTTTGAATATGGATACATCCTTTGGATTTCTAGGTCTAAGTCACTTTTAATAAGCTTCAAAATGGTACTGGCAATAATGTCAGCATATTCCTTAAGACTAGATTTTGATAGATGAGTTGTGGATCCATGTTTTCCTTTGTCACTGGCAAAAGTGGAGTCTATCAACTCTTTACTGAAAGTGGTTCCACCTGATTCATCCTGGCTTGATACATAAAAGACTCTGTTATCTTCTTTACAATTTTTCAATTCTGTGTTAACAAACGACTTTTCTTTAAGGTGGAAAGCAAGAGTAATTAATGAGTCTATTCTTTCTGTGGCAAAGGATTCCAACCTATTGAAAATAGTTTTAGTAATGAAGTTAGCATTTTCCTCATAGGCGTCAGGAGGAGATTTCGTGCTATCTTCTTTCTCTACAACAGTTGTCTGATTAACGGTAGCATAAGATGATTTCAGACTTCCTGAAAATGGAAAACCTCCTGTTTTTCTTTCACTTGTAAAGTCCACAAGAATATGTTGTTGACACTCTGCTTTTGGAGGCATATCACAAAAGGTCGGGGGCAATCTTGCAGAAGTAGAATTATTTGTATTTATGCCTAGCATAACAGCAGAATTGAGATTATGAAGGACAATATTCACTATATCATGAGATATCTTAACAGCATCTGATTTAGGAACTGAAAGTTTTGGAATAACTCTATTTTCACTCTCAATGAACACTTCAGAATTTGCTTCTGAATAGTTACCAACTAGATTACATTTCAGAGTAGATATGGCAAGTGAGAGATTATTTTGATTCAGCGTTTTTTCATAAATGTCACATAAAATACTTTCTACAGTATCTTGTATTTGGAGTTGAAGCACTTTTCGATATTCAGTCTTATTGAGCAGCTTTTCAATAATACCTTCTTGCTGACCTGAATCACTCTCTTTGTTAGAATTGGCTTTTTCACATTTGCCTTTAGAAGATACAATATCTAACACTGTGTTAACAACTTGACTTGCAATCCTTTCAGAAACAAAAATGTTATGCGTTAAAAAAGGACTTTCCATTTCTTTTTCCAACTCATGTTTGATTCCTTGTAAAATTTTTCTAGCCACTTCTGTTGCATAAATATTTAATTTAGACAAAGGTAGTTGACATATGGAGTTGGCTTTTCCTGACTTAATATGATCCACCGAACAACAGAAAAACTTATCATCAGAACATGAATCTTCTGTTGATAACACTGTGCTTAATGCACTCTTATCTTGCTGAATTGGTAACATTAACGGAACTGTAAAACTGACTTCAGGACAAACAAGAGATTTTACTTTGGAAGTAGTGAAAGTTTCTAAATTTGTTAATACTGTCTGCATAATATCTGCAACTATATTTACTTTGGCTTGTTTATCAACACTGAACCCAGACTGGAGAGTACATGAATTTCTGTCCAGTACAGTAAAAGAGGACTTTCCTCCATTTGTTTGTTCATGAAAAGAAACATTAGCTGAAAAGGTAATAGTTTTATACCTATTTTCACTTTCATTTCTCTCTAACATGGCTGCTGAATAAAGCTTATGAAATACAGTTCTGACAACATCATGAGCAACAATGGTTACATCTGCTTCTGATACTAAAGGACACATCATTTTTTCTGTGACTTGAACAGAAGTTTGAGCAACAGCTTCATCAGCATCATGTGGAGTACTACTTAAAGGAGAGTGGGGAAAAGGAAGCACTTTTAATTGAGTGACTAAAGCATTTTGAAAAATTTCATTCAAAATATTTTTGATAATGGGCACAATTGGAGATTTCTGTGGTTCTTTGAGTTCCATTTCAATTTTCTTTAAGGTTTTTTCTAGAGCACATTGAGAATCTGATTTAGGTTCTTCTACTGATGGTGTTCTTCCTCCAAGGAATTCTTTCTCTGTATGTGTAGCATCTTCTAGAAATGAATCTGATTCAGCTCCTCCAGGAAGATAATTTCCATAGGTTGGCCTGTATCGATAAGTTTCAATGCCTCTCTCTTCAGTTTCAGTTTCATTAAAAATATCTGAGGATACTGCATCTAAAATTACATTGACTATGTCTGTTATTATTTGTTTCTCAGGTGGTAGACATTTTACACTTGTCTCCAAATCTGATGAGTTCATATTTAATTCAGCTTGAATATCCTTCAAAAGAGCATGTGATAACTTCTTTGCATGTATGTACAAAGCAGACTGTAATAGTTCTTCATGTGCGTCGGTGGAAAAACTGGTACTCTCACATTTCCGGTCCATCATTATACTTTTTTTATTTCCATCATTAATAATTCCCAGAGTTTCTAAATTTCCATTGGCAAATCCTTCCAATTTATCAAAAACCATATTAAGAATATCTGAAGTCACAGCTTTCAGTTTCTTTGGATGTACTTCTCTTATGAGCCTTGTTTTGGAAAACAGAGAAGCAGTTTTTGTCCTATTATTAGGCATCTCTTTATTATCTTCCTGAATTATCCTGGACACCAAGTTGGAGATTATGCCAGCACATTTAGCTATTTCCTCAATAATTGAAGTAAATGATAAGCTGTCAATTTCCAGACACTGTGAGGCAGCTTTAAGTCCAGAATTTGCAAAGCTGCTATTTGTGTTAACACTATATAGTTTTATAAGGATATATTCCAAAATTGAATTGGAAATGAGTTCAATATTAGACTGCAAATCAGTAGTTGTTTGCTGACTCTCATCAGTCTTCTCCCTCTTTTGCTTATTATCCACTGGTAGAGAATGAGCGTGGGCTTTTATGAGCTTGCATAACATTTCATATAGGGTTTCTCCAATGCAATCTAACACTTTCAATCTAGCATTTTCTTTGAGATCCTTTCCACTAAAGACACTATGGAGAGTACATGGAGTACCTAAACATTTGTGAATTTCAGAGGGCATTGCCCCATGCACACTAGGAAGATGAGTGAAGTTAGATTTTTTATCCTGGCTACTTGGCAAACTGTTTTGTTTCTCAATATTGTCAGATCTATATGAAGTTTCAGGTCTTAGCTTATCTGCAGGCAGTAGAACATTGCTTTCATCTGCATTTTGACTTGATAATATATTGCAAATACAAGTTACTAAGGGACTTGCCATAATGTCATCACTGATATTTGTGTCAAGAGATTCTAATTTCTTATCGGTGTCAGCAAAAATTCCTTTACCTATAAAGGTTCTGGTACGGTTTATCTCCCTAGGATTTAGCTTTTTCTTGTCAAGTTCTAGTTCATTTTGTATAGCACGCAAAACAATCTTTACCACTTTAGTTGTATAAGCAGTGAGTTGAGATCGTAATGAAGGTTGCTTTGTAGGTGAAGGTTTGAAGCCCATTTGTAATTTTGGGCAAACAAATAACTTCAGTTTTTTAAAAACTGTATTAATAATTATATCATTAATGTCATCTACAGATTCAGGATCACTTTTTCCAGTTTCTAACCTGCAAGGCTTTGCAGGATCTATGTTGAGTGAAGATAAATATTTTACTTTCTTTTCACTGTCAAACCATATTTTTAATGGCTTTTTATTTGGTGCTTTTTTGGGCACGTGGGGAGTATCAGAACTGTCTAGGGAACTTTGATGGATTGATGATGAAATGGAGCCTTTGGTGGTATTGGTAATGTAGCTTGACGCCTTATGAAGTATATTTAACATAGCATCTGTTATGTCTTGAGCCACAGTACTAATTTCTGACACAGAGAACATCTGGTCCATCCATTCTTGATGTGATAATCCTTGAGGTTTTCCTGAGGCAAGGACTGAAGAGTCTTTGGCATTTTTACTATCTAAGTAACCAAGAGGAAAAAAAGGTATGTCTTTGAGCATTTCTGTTAAAATACTTTTCAGTGTTATTTCTGAAGCCTTTTGTATTTGATGTTTTTGGTCTTGGCTGAAAATCAAAATGTCTTTATTCAAGCAAGGTTTGCCCTTTATGAGATCCTTATTATTAAAAGAAGGTAGATCACTCTTCAATCCCCAATCACCAAATGCAACTTTGCATCGAGAAGCAGTCTTTGTAGGTGGTTTGGTATTTGTTTTGTATTCAAAACAAGTCTTTCCCTTTGTAAATGAATGGTCAGTCATCTCTTTTTGTAACTTTGCTCTTTCATCTTTGAAAGATGAATCAAGTACATTTTTCACCATTTTGTCTATTTCTTCATTATCATCTTCAGAATAAAGGACCATGCCAGGAACATTAACAGGTGAAAATGGTCTTCCAGACCTATGTCTATTAGATATTCTAGTGCCAGTGAGTCTATACTTTTCCTCAGTGTTAGGAAAATTTCTTGGCCTGGAGCATTTTTTCCTTGGAGCACCTGCTTTTACTGACTTCTGGTGGAGCTGAGTAAAAATATCATCAAGCACCTGAAGAAGTTCCACTGTTTCTTCAGATGCAATAAGTCTCTCATTGTTAAGTTCAGTTTGTACATAGCCTAGTATAGTGCTAATTGCCTCCTCTACAAAACCAACCAGAGAGGACTGGGAAAAAATATTTGACATTAAATTTTTTATTTCTTCTTTGACAGTTAAATTGGCCTCATCAGGTTCAGTACAAGATTTCTTCTTGTCAGCTGTTTGAGGAAAAATATATGTTGGGTCTGTCATATGTTGCTGATAGGAATGTTTAGTTTTATCTTCAAGATGAGGAAGTTCATTTTGCTTACAAGATGCAAGAATTATCAGCTTTTCTAAAATGGCATGCACCATATCCTCTGCAATATCACACATGGGTTCCAAAGTAGAAGGCTGTGAAGGCTGTGAAGGTTCTAAAGGTTTTTCATTTGATGAAGTAAAATATTCTCCACTGGTTGCTGGGTCTGGTTTAATGTGGTCTGGTTTAAAGTCTTCTTGTGAAAACATCTGATCACATTTTATCTCAACTGCATACTGTAGCTTCTCAAGCATGTTTTCCACAATCTCAGCAGCTACTGAGCAGATATCAACATCAGAGAGCAAGTCTCTTTTGTCAGCTTCACATTGGTGAACAAAAACTTCGGCCGTAACAGAAGAAAGAGAGGGAATGGCCTGGGTTAAATCAGACATAATTTCTTGAAAAATGCTTTCTAAAATCAATTCAGTTTCCCCTTTTAAATGACATTTAAAATTAACAAAAACATTCTTTAAATTCTTCAACTCGTTTATGGCTTTTGATTTTTGTTCAGAAAATAGTGGACTCTCTAAGTTATCTGTTTCAGTGGTAGCATCCTTAGAAATTTTTGTGCTTGTTTCAGATGAGGCCAGAAGGTGACTATCAGATTTACAGCTTCTGATCTTAGGATATGCATATCTCACTCGGGCTTTATTATATTTAAGTTCAGATGTTACAGACTGCCTTTTCCTGTGATATGTTTTTTCTATAAATGTTCTTTCCATACAAGCAGAAGGAAGGTTTAAAGGTATACTTGGTTGTTGTACTGATATGTCAGTTACCAACGTATAGGGCTCTGTTTGAAAAGTTTTAGTTGTTGCAGATGTGTAGCTTCCGTATGTAAACTCTTCACTGCAAGTGCTACAGAAACTTGAACTATCTGAAGAGAGGACAGAGTCATCGGACACTGGGTGTGTATTATTTTGCAATCTTTCTTCATACTTTGTGATAGCTGGATATAATATACTAGTCACTGTAGCAACAACCCAGGTCATTATATTCTGAATTATACTATTCAGTTCTTCAGAAGTTATCTAGAAAGGAGGCAAGTAAGGATGAAGAGAAAAATCATTTAACAATACATTTTGGGACAGAAGCTAATATTTAATTCTTTGTATCAAGTAATGCATAGCTGGAAAACCATTATGGTTTAAAGAACATGGGGGAAAAAGCTCTTTAAAATTACAGATTACATTCAAGTTGGTTTATTATGTACTACAGCAACCATATTTTTTGCATAAATTCTTTTTTTTTTTAACATTTATTGCTGAAGATAAATGACTTTGGAAAAATCACCAAATTCCTGTTTAAGATTATAGCAAATAAGTACTTTGAAAGAAAAATGTGATGTTGTGACCCAGCAATTTTTTTAAAGATATGCCAGATTATTTCTAATAAACTATCAAAACAGATGAAGACAAACGTGAAGTTGCCTGCAGCAGCATCTGTCTAGCTCACCTTTGAAGGTGGAAAATAAACCATCCCATTCTCTCATTTGTCTACTATTGGGATGAGTCTCTAGTCCGTATATATAGAAACGATTGCAGCTAATTTTTAAGTAACAATAGAAGCTAGTACTTAATGGGGACTAAATGATTTTGTACTCAATAAAAGGTTATTAGTGAAAATTATCTTATGAAGGCTAGGACAGATCATGAAGTGAAATAACAAATTAATTCAGATCAGAAATAAGGGTCACATTAGAACCAGGAGTGAGGAGGGCTGAGCAAAGGTATAGAAGTTGGAGTATTCCTCAGTTTTAAGCAGAAGTAGAAAGCCAGGGGACCAGGTTTCCTTAGTGGAGGTGTTGCCACAAATTAAATGGACTAAAGGCTGAAGCAGGATACATCTGCACAATTCTATATACCTCTACTTACATACTGCAAATATATTTTGGGTTGGTAAAAATTCTCTTGCCTATAATAAAAGAGGGAGCTCTGGTGGCACAGTGCCTAAGGCATCTGACTGCTAACCAGAAGGCTGGTGGTTCAAACTCACCAGGTACTCCTTGGAAGGAAGGTTGAGCAATCTACTGCCGTAGTGATACCGCCTTGGAAACCCAAGGAGGGGTCACTATGAGTCGGATCCGACTCCACGACAGTGGGCTTGGTATAATAAGATAGAAATCTGTTTTTAAATGTTATTTTCCTATAATGTTAAAGAACAGGGATGAATCTGTGAAACACATAACATGGATGAACTTAGAGGCCATTATGCTGAGTGAAATTAGTCAATCACAAAAGGGTAAATATTATATAAGACCACTATTGTGACAAATCTTATGAGACCACTACTGTAAAAAGTTTAAAAAAAGGGTTTCACAAGTAAAAGAAATATTCTTTGATGACTATCAGGGATAGACAGGGAGGGGACTGTAAATCACTATCTGGGGGGTAAACACACATTAACTTGGGTGAAGGAAAAAAAAAATAAAGATCCTGAAATTATACATACATCACAAAACATGATTCCTGCTGAGAAAGTTTGTTTAAATATTCTAGGTTTTCATTTGAACTTTTACTGTTTTCAATATTTCCCCAAATTTAACTTTAACCTTTTAAGATGTTACTAATTAATTTTGGAAATTACAAGGCTTTTGCACAAATGACTAATTCATGAAAATAACTTCACATCTTTGGCTTGTGGCAGAAACATTTTCCTTGGCTATCACAAGTGTAATTTTTGTTGTTTTTTTAAAAAATTATATATGTTTATTTAGGGAGCTCTGGTGGCATAGTGCCTAAGGTACTTGACTGCTAACCAAAAGGTTGGGGTTTAAACCCACCAGCCACTCCTCAGAAGGAAGGTTGGGCAATCTACTTCCGTAGTGATACTGCCTCGGAAACCCAAGGAGGGGTCGCTATGAGTTGGGTCTGACTCGATGGCATGTAACAACAACAATAATGTTTATTTATCCTTAAGCCATACAGGCTGGAAACACAAGTTGCAGTAAAACCTAAAAGGCTAGGATGTAGGCATCAGAGTTAACAACAGGATTCATGTAATGGGACTGTCAGCACCCAAGATATTGCCTAAATTAGCCTGAAGTTGTTGAAGTTTAAGGCCAACATTCAAAGAAAAGTTAATATTCTACCGGATGTAGGAATGCAGCATATTCTCTCTTGTTCCAGTTGAGAGGATTTGAGAGTATAAAAAGGTGATTTTTCTTTTTGCTCTAATTCTTAAATCTCCTAATAATTTTTTACCTATGGCACAGAGATTTGCTATTGGTTTGGAAAACATATTTTGGAATGATAGCATATATTGTAAATACTTTTTTACATAAACACATACTCAAACATTTCTAAGAATAAAACTTAAATAGAGATTATTGTTCTAAATCCATTCCAACATATATAAAAAAAGACTTCCAATATATGTTATTTTCCTTATTATCAGAGATTATATGCAACAGACTTACATTATTACTCTTAGGCTAGGTGTGAGGAAGAATGTCCAACCTTGATAAATGTAATAGGGACATTCCTAAAATTTTCGGTGTTGTAAAATATGATAAAAAGGAATCTTATTTTTCAATTGATTTCCACAGGAATATTAAACTGAGGAATATCCTCTTGAATCAAAGCCTTTGTATTTGCTGTGTATTCTATGAATTGAGCAGTCATCTATGGGAAAGAGTGAGTATGTATGTGTTGCTCTCCTCAATCCCTTTCTGGTTTCTGAATGGTTTGTTGAAATCCAGTATTGGGACTCATAATGTATATCCTCTTATCTTTGCCTATTGTAAGTTTAATCTTGTAGGTCATCAGATACCTTCTTAAGTGACCTTCTTAAGTGATTAGGTTCTTTCCCAAGAACACTGTTAGAGACAGAGCCAGGCTTCCTGGTTCACCTGCAGCTGAGTTCATCAGCCAGGTATTCAAAGGCATGTCACTTGACTGCTTCCCATGATCTAACAGACTTATAGTATTTGATGCTGTTTCTGTGATGGCTAGGATCTCTAACATCCTCCCCCCATGTCCAATTCTATTCCCATAGACCCCTTCCTGAAGAATCAACATTATCTTTTGATAATAACTTTGGACCCTTGTAAAACCAAGAATTAATTGAAAGAAAAACAAGAGAAAGGGCAAAGAACAAAATTGACTTAGTATAAATAGATTATTATTTGTTAATCTGATTCACAGATTTTTTTTCAATTATGACACATTACAAAACTATCATTAATATGGTGCTTTATCAGTAGATTTCATGATACATACTTTTTTGTGCAAGCAATTTTGTAGGAGGTTCTGTTGTCTGTAAAGTCAAGAAAGGTTGATCATTTAGTTATTACTTAGGATCAAGGATTTATGTAAGTTTTTCTAAAAGTCCTAATCATTGAATCAGTTTCTCTGCTTAATATATGGTAGTTTTTCTACAGAACTGAAAAGAAAGGATAAACTTTATTTTTGTCTAATTACCCTATTTCACCTCCTCCTTAAATAATGGCCCCTACATACAGAAACATGTTCTTTTACTCAGAGGAATAAAATTACACCTGCTACATAAAGTGTATCTAGTTGGTAGTTTTATTTCTGTCCTACCTTAGCCATGCCTGCTTTGTTGTTCTCTTGGAGGGAGTGGGTAGGCTAGCCCCTTCTGTCTGCTAGAAGGCATGATGGGGTAGCATGATATCTCACCAAAATTTCTGATAATCATTTACTTAGCCCTTCAAATCTCCTAGCCCAACCACCCCCAATATCCTACAGCGGGAAGGGAATATGTGAATGATTATTCAATAATTAATAAAATCATGCATATCTAACTATTCAATAACATCATTTAATATTAATTTAGATTTTGTCTTATTCTGTATATGACAATATTTTATTACATGTTCTAAGTGGGAATATTTATTATCACACACTGAACAAAATTAAAAATATAGTTTTTTGAATTATAACAAATAAAACAATCATGAAAATGACAGTATTTAAAAAAAACAGTCGATTACACAAGGCTTAAGATTGTAGTTCTGAATTATTTTAATACATTTTTGAAAACATGGACCCTTTGCTTAATTGTCTAATCCCCCAACAAACACACAGAGCTCATCAGCAAAGACTTGGAAGCTTATTAACCAGTTGCCATTGAGTTAAATCCTATTCGTGGTGACTCTGTATGTGTCAAAGTGAAACTGCCCCTACAGGGTTTTCAACATAGATTTTTTTTTTAACATAGATTGGAAAGTCTTTCTTCTGAGGTACCTATGGATGGACTTGAACTCCCAACTTCTCATTAGCAGCCAACCACATTAACTGTTCATTCCACCCTGTGAGGAAGATGTATCAGAGTTCCAGATACTTAGGCATATCTGTCCAATCATTAGCTGATCATTAAATCAACTAAGCAGAGATCCCAGTGGCTTCAATAAAAGGATGCAGACTCAAAGAAGTACTTCATAAAAATGAGTAAACAAATGAATAACAGCATCAAAAACAAAGCATGTGATTTCCAAACCATGTGAGAGTCTAATTTCCTAAGTTGTCACATTGTACTATTTAAACTGTTCAATTTGTCAACCAAAACCAAAGAAAGCAAAGAAGGAAGAAAGTATGGCCCATACAAAGAGAAAAATAATTCAATATAAACTGTGAGGAAGACTAGATATTGACCTTACTAGACAAACACTTTAAGTGAACAGTCTTACACATCATTTACATTTGCTTTAAATTTACATTCAAAGTAAACTCTCCAACTGTGTGATGCAATTAAAAATCAATAACAGAAAGATATAATAATAGATAATAGGTAGAAATAATCAATTGGTCAATAACAAGGGAAATAAGAAAATAACTTTAAATGAATGAAAGCAAAAATACAATATACTAAACCTTGTGAGATGAAGTGACAAGTGCCCACTCAAGGAAATTTTTAGCTGTAAATTCTTACATTTTATAAAAAGAGGAAAACCTCAAGTCACTACCTAGCCTTCAGCTACAAATGGAAGAGAAAACTAAACCTAAAGTAAGAAAAGGAAATAAATAAATATTAGGGTAGAAATTAATGAAATAGGACACAATAGAGAAAAATAAATTAAACCAAAAGCTAGTTCTTTGAAAAATAAATCAGCAAAAATTAACAAAATTCTTCATGAACTCTTCCAAAAAATAGAAGAGGAAGGTACATTTACAACATTTACAAACTTATCCTTTGAGTCTAGTATTATTCTAATACAAAAACCAGAAGAAATACAAGAAAAGGCATGTAGAAACTACCGTTCAACATCTCTTATGAATATAAATGAAAAAACCCCCAAATTTCCTGATTTTAAATCTTACTACAAAGTTATAGTAATCAAGACTATACATGGTACTGGCTAGCGTAAGGACAGACATATAAATCAGTGAAACAGAGTTGAGAGCCCCAAAATAAACCCATATTTTTTGGGACAACAAGTTATTGACAAGGGTGCCAAGACAAATCACTGGGGCAAGAGTAATCTTTTTAATAAGTAGCAGTTGAAAAGTGCATCCAAAACAGAGTTTCAACTGCTATTTATTAAAAAGACTGTTCTTTCCCCATTGAATTGTCTTGGCACCCTTGTGCCAAATACACAAATGGCCAGTAAGTACATGAATATATGCTCAATATCATTAGTCATTAGCAAACTACAAAGGAAAATGATATTGAGATACCACTGAACACCTACTAGGACAGCTATAATAAAAGAGACAATAGCAAGTGTTGGCAAGGATGTGGAGAAACAGGAGTGCACAATATATTTCTGATGGGAATGTAAAATGATGCACAGTTGCTCTGGAAAACTGTTTGACAATTCCTTACAAAGTTAAACATAGAGTTACCATATGACTCAGCAATTCCACTCTTGGTGTATACACCCAAGAGAATTAAAAATATATGGTCACACAAACACTTATGCATAACAGCATTAGACATGACGTACTAATACATGCCACTACATAGATGAAATTGGGAAATATATTAAGTGAAAGAAACGAGCCAAAAAAGTCCACATATTGTATAATTCCATCTACATGAAAAGTCCACAATAGGAAAATCTAGAGAGACAGAAAATAGGTTAGTGGTTGTTCTGGTTACCTAGTGCAGCTCTGACAAGAATATACCACAAATGGGATGGCTTAAACAAACATTTTATTTTTACAATTTGGAGGCTTTCAGTCCAAGTTCAAAGTGCCAAGCACTAGGGGCTGGGTGAAAGCCCCTCAGCCTTGGGGTCCAGCTCTGCCTCCTGTTCCCAGCCCACTGGAGCTAGAGGTGCTTCTTCACTCAGACAGCTGCTGGCTGCTGAGGCTGAGAAGCCCCAAGGT